GTCCACCGTACGGGGTGGGTTGGACATGAAAGGAGGGCTTGCAATTCCGAGGTCTTGGAGTCCTCGTCCATAGAATACGCCACATACGCAAAGAAAAGTGACGAGCCGAGGCCTCACTTGCAAGATAATAATTAAAATACGCTAAAACACTGTTTTGTGTGTACATGTGATCATGAAACCATATTGTATTCACTAAGCTTTTTGCTTATACTATACATGTATATATCTCAGGTGTCATTTGTCAGTAGACGAGTGAACGAAGAAAGACGGGACTATGTTTTGAATCATGCTTGATTAGATATTTTAATTATCATTGATTACGTTAAAGTATTTTACGCTTCCGCAATTATGTAACGAATTATGTTAAACATATTATATGTGTTTGAAATTTTAAGTTCGTATTTTTGATCAAGACATAAGTTATTAAGAATGACGTCACGGCACTCGAAAGAAAGGGAAAAAAAAAATCGGGGCGTGACAATAAATGCTCTTCTTATACAATTCTTCGTCTTCATCTCTATCTAGTATTTATTATGTTTATCCGCAGTTAGTTAAATTTGGAGCTTTAATAAGTTGTTCTTATGCTTAATCAACTTGTAATTTTGAGGTTTAAGTAAGATGCATCAATAAGTGGTACTTAATGTATAAAATATAATCTTGAATTTTAAGTAATATGTACTTGATTCATAGAAAATAGTTTTAAGAGTTTCTTCAAATGTTTTATAATATAGATTTTCCTCAACTTATAGATTTAAAAAAAGAAAAGGTTAATAACACAATAATAATTTTATAGATTTTACATTTTAGATTTAACTTTTTTTCTTCACCGTAATAATTTTATCACCATAATCACAAGACCTTTTTTCTTGTTAAATTTCTTTTACTTATTTAACATTTGTATTCAAAGATACCAAGTCTTATTAAAAACTACACTAGTCTTTGCCTATGAAAGAAATTTCATGCTAAATATCCCAATAGTTAAGGTTAGGGATTACTTTGGTATGTTTTGCTTCAACTTTTGTATGCATCTATTTATGTTATGTAACAATCCACAAATTTATATGTACAAATAATCCACATACACATTCTCACAAAACAAAATATAGTATTGTTTACAAAACACGGGCTAACAAAAACTTTCTTCAATACATTTATGAGCAACTAATTTCATCAATTCTAAATTTTCCCTTTGCCTTTATCYTGCGAGGTATGATGACCTGCAAWACAGGTTAGTCCAACAACTGARCGTTAGACCCAATAGGTCTAGTGAGTGTACAMATTTCACAYAAATAWYATACTTTCCAAACCAACAGTTTAGAATCAAACCTGTACAGATATAAATATTTATCTCTTTTCTCTCGCGGTTACACCGCCATTTCATCTCTCTCGCGGTTACACCGTCATTTCATCTCTCTCGCGGTTACACCGCCATTTCATCTCTCTCGCGGTNCATTTCATCTCTCTCGCGGTTACACCGTCATTTCATCTCTCTCGCGGTTACACCGCCATTACATCTCTCTCGCGTAAGGAAATTTAATCAATACTTAGCCGGATATGGAAATCCGGACATCATTGTCCGGATATGCAATCCGGACAATCACTTAGAACCAAAAATTTGTAATTCGGACAATCGATCTTGAGCGATTTAGGCATATCCGGACATCCCTTGGTCGGTTTAAGGGAAATCCGGTTGATACTCAAGCGGTTAAAAGGGAATCCGATTGCTTCTTGGGCGGTTTACGACTTATATTGGTTAACCTTTGGGCAGTTTTAAGGTGATATCCGGACAACACTCAACTGGTTTAGATGAAATTCGGTTGCCTCTTGGGCGATTTAAAGCAAATCCGGACAACCACTTGTCCGGTTTAGAATGAAGTCCGCACAAATAATATATATGGAAATAACAAGCCATATCTAAAAGCGATTAAATTGTTATACAAACAATTGATAACACTCACCTCAGAAACCGAATGTCCTAGCTTGAATTCTCTTTTTTTTTTCTGCCAATCCGTATGATTCACAAAGAAAACCTTCCAAATAAAGAGAGTGTAAATTTTTTCCTTCTAATACCTCATTTACTATATATAGTAAATGGAAACTGTGAGAGCCGGCATTAAGCCAACTCCCCTTCTCCCAACAAACTTATATTAAACTAAATTCCCTCTTACACACACACTCCTTCATGAATATATATATAAATATAATTCAAAAATCTTAATTCAAAACTCGAAACCCGAATATTACATGTTATGTTTTGGAAAACTAATAGAAATTGCGTTATAAATGTAAGAAATTGTATAATTGTATTAACGAGTTTTAAAGTATTTATTTGCTTAAAGAAATTGTATAATCGTTAACCATTGAAAATTTAAATTCAACCTTTTCTTTTCAAAGATCAGAATTTAAGGAAAATTATAATTAATAAAGCAAAGGATAAACTTGTAATTTACAACTTGGTCTAATTTACTTTGAAAAGAAAAACAGAAGGTTGACATCTATGCCTAAAAAACTTATATATATATAATTTTAATGCAAAAAAGAAGAAGAAAAAAACAATAAAAAGGAGAAAAGGGATCTCATACGCATGTCAGCATATTTAGGGGAGCCCTCAAATCTGATACTTCTTGCTCTCCTCTAATCAACCAAATTTTCCAAAAAAATGTGATCTTTTTCGATCCTTCTTCTTCAGAAACCCTAATTCGTTGCTAAAGTGATTAGGGTTTTGTTTTGTTTCTTTTTGCATTAATTTGTATTCTAAACTGTGGTCTGATGAGTGGTTCATGCAAACATACATACAGTTCCCAAGATTTCTTATAGACTAGTGCTTGATTTTGGTGATGATTGTTAGAGATGGTTCGAGACGTGCTAGCGTTGCAGCCGGAGACGGAGACGACGCCTGGGGATGGAGGCGTAGGTATGCTGGTGAAGAAGAAGGGAACGGCGAGTGCGAGGAGTTGGATATTGATCGATACTAACGTGAATGAGACGATTATGGATATTGATAAGTATGCTATCATGCACCGAGTTCAGATTCATGCTCGTGATCTTCGGATTCTTGATCCTCTTTTATCTTATCCTTCTACAATTTTAGGCCGTGAAAGGGCAATTGTCCTTAACTTGGAAGTGAGTTCATCATTACCATTTTGATTTTTCTTGTTTTCTATTCTTGTTTTTTCTTTCACTTTTATTTTGTAGTCGATGTGTACCAATTTTGATGCTCATTGACCCTTGAAAACAACACACTCAACCTCCATAGACTAGTTTCAACTTCAATACATATTTCAATTTCTAAGTTTTCCCGAGTTTTTTCTCAATATATTAATTTCTGTGGCAAATATTACACGTACCTAAATGTCGGAACTGAAGATGAAGATATGATGAAATCTGTGTCTAATTTGGTTCGGGAAAGCATAATTTTTGACTCAAAAGTCAGCCTACTTTGCTCTTCTTTTTTGGTTTTAACTCAAATTTTTACCAAACAAATCTCAATTTAGTGCTCAACAAAATAGATACATCAAATATTTCATAGATCAAAACTATGCTGTTTTTTGTTGATTGCATATCATCATAAAACAGCACACATGTTTTGTTATCTATATCTTTGTTACAAAGATCAATACATTATCCAGTGCACATTCTGTATATTAGATTATGGCTGAAAATTTTGTACTTCTGATTTGTTGATTTTTCTACTAACGATTGTTTCTTGTGATGTACTGGGGGATATGGCAGCATATCAAAGCTATTGTCACTGCTGAAGAGGTTAGGATTTTTTTTTTCTTTCCTTTCTTTCATATTTTTATCTTTCTAAAATTGTTTAACCACTCTTCTTACTTTTAGATGTTCTCAAAATTCAATATCTTGTGTATATTGGTGTTCCTAGCTGATGTACGCAAGGGACCTTGAGAGCAGGGGTCCTCATAGATATACATACTAGTTTTTATAGAACTGTTATGCAATGTTTGTTTGTTTGTTTGTTTGTTTGTTTGTTTTCTCTTAAAATGGGGGAGCCATATGTAAAATTCTCATATACTGTTGAAATGTGTGTATAATAACATTTAGCTAATGGAAGCAAAGCCTCGAAGAATGGTATTTAATTTTGGATTCACATCAATTTTATTGATGCTATATATATATATATATATATATATCATAGACATAATAGATTTATGACGTGTCCCCTAGGATGGATTATCAAAGTCCAGGGAGGATGGGCCTTGAAGGGTGAGGGATGGGGTGGGGGATTGATTTGGATATAAATTTTGTTTCCAATAGGTCTCAAAGAGCCAACCAGTAGTTGAGTGGAAGAGATTAGTGATGGCATGACAAATAACCTACATTTACATCATATATTTACCTATTATTCTTTTGCAGTTTCATTACTTTACTTGGGAATAAAAGTTAAATTATATGCTAGATGTTGCTTATGTTTGTGGCATGTTGATGTCTTTGCTCTTTTATGAAGACCGTTAATATATCAGAGGGAATGATATTCTAAAAGGTTTTAACCAAAGTATATTGGCCTTTTCTGTCTCGTTCCTTGTAATATCTAATTAATTGGCAAGTGCAACTTGCAAATTCTGGGGTTTCGCTGTAGCAACCACTCTACCCTTTGGGGGTAGAGGTTCCACCCCTCCCAGACCTTTTTTTTGAGTCGGGTATAATGGGTTTGTTTAGTTTGGTTTGGTTTATGTGTAGGGAATCGTTGACACAAGAATATTGCTGTTGATTCGCTCACCAGCTTTGGAAGTTTGGAGTTCCATAATCTGGAAGTGAGATGCTATGATAACTGACCTTAGGGAAATTCTAGATGTCTCTGATGTCAAGGTGTTGATGCAAATGGATTTATCTAAACTTGATCTATCATTGATTATTGTGGTTTTAGTTGCTTGTATTATATTTGCATGTCACCAAACTCTTTAGCTCCCTCCATTGAACCCTTAACCAGTTGGGAAGATGCTTAAAAGTACTTTAAAGTGTAATTTTTTTAATTGTTTGTCACTCTTTACTAACCGGTCTAACTTACATTTGTAAAGTTATTTTAAGCCTGAGGTACTTTATGTTAACGAACCTTTTGTGACCTTGACATCTTAACCTTTTCTATATCTTCAATATGCCATACTGTTATATGGTCTATATGGCATATGAATGAACTAATTCTACTCTGTGCAGAACCCTAGGTTAGGCTAGGGGCATACATAGTTTCCACGCATTGGTAGTATATTGATGTTGCTTACTCATCTTTAGTTTCTTAAAATTTAGCATATCTGTCTTTTCTCTCTTTCTATTTCTATTACTATTGCTTACTCATATCTAGCTTTTCAAAATTTAGCATTTCTAAAGTTCTCTCTTTCACACACTTTCCACTAGCATGCCCGACCCTATCTAGGGGTTGTGATGGCGACCGCCATGGGCATCAAAGCCCAGAGGGTATCACCAGCCCTTTAGGTTAATTTACAGTATCTGTTATCGGCCTAATCCCTAATTCTAATTCTCTTGCCTACTCACTTTGACTTTCACTCTCCCTCTCAGCTTCTCAAGCTCTGCCCTTGACTCCAATGTTTTACTCTCGCTCTTGCCTTTGAGATTAAAGTCCTGCTCTCGACTTTCTGGTTTGAGTTCATGCTCTTGATGGTTTGATTTTGATTTTTGTTCTAATTTGATTTTGATTTCTGCCGTTCTAGGCTTCTCAATTGTCACCTATGGTTTTGTCACTTTCTATTTACAAAATTATGTATTGATTTGAGAACAACCCTCTTGTATATATGTTTTTATCATTACCCTTGCTAAAATCAGCAACCTGGATCAGATGGTATTGTTTATAGAAACCAGTATCGTATGCATATTTGTAGAAGATGACTTCATCGTACTGCTGCGACGTTTTCACTGTTTAAGTTTGCTAGTTCTGTTTTCTTGCTTCTTTAGCTTGTTGACCATCAAACTCAGCTACATCCATTTTTTTTTTCAATTTGGTTTTCTTGTGTTCCTATTTGTTGCATCAAACTAAATAATGCCCCCTTACTGTTAAGAGAATAATTGTATATAGGCTGTTCTAGAGTATATGTATCTCATTATGTTTAGCAGCACGCTTCATTGTTTTCCTAATTTTTCAGATGCTCATCCATTTTTGTGCTTGTATTTTATTTCGGACCTTTAAAATTTACATCTCCTTCATCTTTGGCCAACATGTTAGGGTGCTTCTAGATAGGGCTTATGCTACATCAAAGCCTTGGGATGATGCTCCAGTTGTTTTTTGTGGAGATTAATTAAACTCTACATCATGCATATCAGTAGCTTTTAGTCCTTAACTTTCTTCAATATCAAATTTGATTGTATTTATCATCCCAATAAGTCTTTTCTTGTGCTTCAAAGTTCATCGCACAACTTTATATTGGAGCCAAATGTTCAATAAAATAGCATGTCTTCTTGTATAAATAATCGACGTATTTTTTGGCCTTTTCGCCATAGGCATCACGAACCTCAGGACCGACCCTGTCCACTAGCTGGGGGTCTTCATGCAATTAACCCCTCTACTCTTTAGGGTAGAGGTGAGCTCTATGTGCATCTTACCCCGCCTCCAGGTGGGATATTGTTGGGTCATTGACCAACATCTTCCTAAATCGAAACGTGGCGCTGGCTGCTACGCTATAAGGAAATAAGTTGCGCCTTCTCCACTAGCAATTGCTTTTGGCGTACTGGTAAGCGCTTGGATCCTAACATGTGGTATCAGAGCAGGTCACGGGTTCGAATCCCATGGAGTGCATAATAATGCCAAAGGCATGCTGTGCAGCCATTGACTTCTAGCGAAGATCTTGTTAGTGCTGGCAGATGCCGGGGGGGGGGGATTGTTGGGTCATTGACCAACATCTTCCTAAATCGAAACGTGGCGCTGGCTGCTAAGCTATAAGGAAATAAGTTGCGCATTCTCCACTAGCAATTGCTTTTGGCGTAGTGGTAAGCGCTTGGATCCTAACAGATATACTGGGGTTGATTGGTTTGGTTTTTTCTTGGAATTATGGTTATATAAAACTTGTTTTAACTGCATGAGCTACTTTAGGCAGTTTCGATAATTGTCACTGTTCCTAATAAGAATTTGGGAATTTTGCATAGGTGTTGCTTCGAGATCCTTCAGATGATAATGTAATACCAGTTGTTGAGGAACTACGGAGGAGATTGCCTGTTGCAAATGCCAATCGTGGAGACTTGAGTGGGCAGCATGATGAAGCTGGGGAAGAAGACGGTACGATTATGAATACTTTATCTTTGTTTCTGTTTATAGTTTGTGAAGGATATTTTGATATGACTATGAAGAGGGAGTTCAGAGTCTTTCTGCTGCTTGTGTCTTTTTCTGGCCTTCATTACGTTTTCCATTTTTATGGGTCTTGAAGCAAATGGCTTTTCATGCGTTACTCAAATGCATCATTTTTTGCTCGAATATGCATGCAGAATCACCATTTGAGTTTCGAGCACTAGAGGTTTTCTTAGAGGCCATTTGCAGTTTTCATGCTGCTTGTACTACAGAACTGGAAACCGATGCTTACCCAGCCTTGGATGAGTTTACGTCTAAGGTATGTGCTTTTTTGGGAACTATTTAATTATAATTTTCAGAATAATAGCTTTTTGTATTTTGTCACAGCACTTTCTTTGAAGCTGTAGTGCTTTCACCTTTCAGTAGCTCTAAATTTTTCTGAAGGCTTGCTAGTAGGTTGGTAAACCAATCCAAACATGCCCAGTATATCCCACTCAAAAGTAGGGTCCCGGGGGGGGGGGGGGGTGTAGATGTACACAAACCTGCCTCTACCCCAGTAGGTTGATGATAGCATATAATAACAAAACAGCCAATGGTTGTTTGCCTACACTTGGTGACAAGTGTTTCTGCAATTTGTGTCCTTTCTTTCAGATCTTGTAATTATGAACTTCATTTAAGAAATTTCTGCTAATAGTTCAGTGCAGCTTGGTAGTTTGGCTCATTGTGGTTTTGGCAGTTTGGGCTACATATTCTTGTTCACCATATGCATGTGTTGTCGCATCCTGCACCATGAAAAAGCCATATAAATCTTGCTACCAAGTGATATAAATAAATAAGCCATTTTCATGTTACCTACAACATGCTAAGCCAACAATCCTGCATGTCTCTTGACATGGCAACTTTTTTGTACGAAACCATAATAGGAGAATCCAAAGCTACCATAGATATAGACAAGATTGTAGATGTAAAAGTGAGAAAGAGGAGAACTGGTGAGGCAGCAATGGGCAGGTGGAGGTAGCATGGTGATTTTGGAGGTGAGAGGGGAGTTGAGAATGCACAGAAGAAAGCTTGAAGGAAAGCACAGGGTGCCAGTGCAATAGTGCAGGGGAATGTTAGTGCAATAGTGCAGGGGAATGTTTAGAGTTTCGACTTTCCAATTAGAAACACAGTTCTAATGTTACTGAGATAATATTGATGCACCAGGACTAAAACCGTGCGTTGGTACAGGGACGGGACTGGACGGAGACATGATAGGATGGGTAAGAGTGAGAGGAAGGTTTTAGGGTTTTAATTTGAGATGGGTACTTTAGTAATTTACCAATCTTATCCTATTTTGCCAATTTTTATTCCACCTATTTTTGTGGGAGTTGTGGGACAAACATAGTGCATTTTTGTCCCACTCAGTCCAGTCTTATCCCACCAGTCTAATGCCACGCCAAACATGGGGCAAGTTTTTGTTCTGTCCTGTCCCATCCCGCTACTAAAAGCAGGCCACACCTCAATATCCCTTTTCTTACACTCCTCAAGTTGGAGGATATGGGTCAATCTTTACCCAATATGTTGAGGTTGACTAAAAACAGGACCCTTCTTTCCTATATTTGGATCCTCAGAAGAGTAAGCATGGACCAACCAGTTATTTCCTTCGTGTTAGCAGCCACTGATTATGCAAATCAGCATAATGATGTGGACCAGGCGAATTATCAGAAGCAAGCCAATTATCAGGTATTGTTGGTCATACGAGCTTTTAGCACCAGAAGCTAGAGCAAAACCGAACTGCTCCCATTTTCTAGTAATATTTTCTTATACCTCGTGCTCCCCAGTGCCTTCTCAGAATCTTCTCAACTTTCTGATAAAAACTCCTTGACAAATTTATCTGTTTTCTCTTGTTCTTTCAAAACTTTTTCGCAAGCATGGGGTTTTCATGGAAACAGAGTCTCTACCTGTTGGGTGCATAGAAGGTCTACGCACATCCTAGATCCTACCTCCATACCCTACTTTCAAGTGGGATATACTGGGCGTTTGTTATGGTAATGTCTGTACTAGGAAGAAATTTTGTACTAAAATGCTAGTGAAGGATGAATGATATGCAAGCATACAAAGTGTGTCAGCCTTTTCAAGAGAATCAAGATTATAGCAAGTGTTGTCACTTTTCACCTTTTACAAAGGATGCAAAGTTACTTCATTTTCTTGTTGGCTTCATGTTCTAACATTATATTGGTGATCCATGGTACTGCAACTGGAACACCTCATTTCATGTTTGGTTATTAGATTGCTATATCTTTCAAAATCAAACATTTAATTCATGCTAATGAATGTCATCAGAAGAGCATAAAATACAACTTATTAATGTTAGGGAAATAAGCTTGAGTTTCAAATAGATAATCATTTTTTTGTTTGTTTTTGCAAATGCTTTCCAGATTTTGTGCATATGACTTGATTGTTCATTGTTATATAATATCTTCTTTGTCTAACCATGTTGCTACTTATAATACCATCACTATTCTGATTGACAGATTAGTAGCCGTAACTTGGATCGTGTTCGTAAACTGAAAAGTGCAATGACAAGGTTGACTGCTCGTGTTCAAAAGGTATACATAATGCTTGTTTCCCATATGTATTGCTATTTCCGTGATTATCGTACTGGGAAACTTATAACTTCCATTTAACATTTAAGTTAGTTTAGTGAGATCTACATGACAGTGAGACTCGATAACCCATTGTCTTTGATGCATGGGGCTTTACTTGGGGGCTGTTTACCAAATTTTTTTGGGTTAGTGCTGATTAGGGTAAGAGGTCAAATTACTATTTATCAAATACTTTGTATCAAGTGTTGATCGAGTATAAATAACTATTATACCCTTAAATTGAAGTTTAAAACAAAAATTAATTTGAAGCATTGATTGTTTCTCTTTCTTTTTGGAGCCCTACGGCCTACAAATTTGCTTTTTTTTTTTGTGTAAACCCCCCCTACAAAGTCATTTTGCAGGGTGCTTTTGTCGGTTTACAGATCAATAAAACATACGGCTGAAAATTTGAACCCAGGCGCAAACATCAGTTGGATGGAATTTGAACCAAAGCAGAAAACCAAAATGATGGCTGGAAATCTTCATAGCAGTTTGCTATCTTCTCCACACAGTCACACGGCTGTCAGAAAAACCGAACTGGTGTTTGGCGTTGGTGTTATGATGAAAAAAATGTTTTGTATCTATAGGGACTGGGGACGATGCTTATAATAGCAATAATCTTTGATGTTTCATCAAGAAATTGGAATTTAGGGTTTTTTTTTTCTTTGGCTCTGCAACTCTGCCGTAGATCTTGTCATATCGATATGGGTTTAGAGACGGTATGTGCCAAGAGAATTTGGCAAATGAAGAAAAAGAGATGGGTGCCTTTTCCTATTGTTAGTTAAAGAATAAGATTAAAGGTGGCGAACAAGGAAAAAACGTGCTGACCGTGGTAGGAAACACCTTCATCTCTGTCCCTGGTCAGAAGCACGGTCAGCAATTAGAGGCTTATTGTGTTTTGGTAAACACCCCACTTATCCGAGTAATCTTCCACATATATTGTCAATCAGTGTTGTGGTGGAGTGGTTAGTGCCTGGGCAGTTCATAGCGCTGAACCCAGGTTCGAACCCCTCTTCACACATCCTGTGCGATATTTACTAAAGGGGCATGCTTTAGCCCTGGATGTGCCTGGGATTAGTCGAGCATTGGCTCGGATACCCATTTCAAAAAAAAAAAAAAAATCTTCCACATATTAAGTATTAGCCAGAATACATTTGCTGACCATAATATAAGTGTTGACACTGTTTTGATGGTGTTGCAACATCTTTTCTTATAATTCACTAAGAATTGCAACATTTTCTTTTTTGGGGAAACTAACTCAAACTAATATCCACATGACATTTGAACTTTTGGCTCACTGATAATGGATTATTGCAGGTTAGGGATGAACTTGAACGACTTTTGGACGATGATGATGATATGGCGGATCTATATTTATCAAGAAAGCTATCTTCGGCTTCACCAGTAAGTGACTCAGGTGCTGCTAGTTGGTTTCTTGGCTCGCCTACTATWGGTTCAAAGATATCTAGAGCTAGCAGGGCAAGTGTGATGACGATTCATGGAGATGAAAACGATGTTGAAGAGCTTGAGATGCTTCTAGAGGTTCACTTACAACCTTCATACTGATTTTGCATCTTATTTATTTATTTATTGTGATTTGTTCTTTTTAAAAACTTGACACGTAATAGGTTTTTTGGATGTATTCCAGGCCTACTTCATGCAGATTGATGGAACGTTAAACAAGTTAACCAGTGTGAGTGATATTAATTCCGTAATTCTAAAACATTTTTTCCCTCTTTTTAGTTACTTTTTAGCACCACTTATGATATTGAATGTGCAAAAGGCAACCATACAAAATACATGTGTACACAAGAAAATATTAGTACTTGCATCGCCTTGCTTTGAACCAGTAAACCAAACTGACCCAGTAATTCCACTAGAAAGTAGTCTGTTTGGGGGGGGGGGGAGATAAACTGTAAAATTATGACATGAAAACCTGAGTGGTTTGACAGTTCTTTTACCTTATGAGGTGGGGCCTGAAATTTATATTTATCTTGATGGAATTCATCGATGCTATATACTTATATTGAGACTTGTGTTCATGGGTGATTATCATTTACTCTCTGTCCTGGAATGAATGCAATAGTTTTCTTCTCAGGTAATGTAAACTGTTATACCTGGAAGTTACTGTTGGATACTTATGCTAGGAGGAGCATTGGTAGTACTTAAAATAGAAATAATAATATTGTAGTACTAATAACTAATAGCAAAAGATAGGAGGGAGGTGCAGGGGTTGTGCAGGCGCAGCGGCTAGTCTGTTACGAAGGGTAAAATGGGAAAGTAGCTTTTAGAGTTTGTTAAATAAGTGAGGTAAAGAGCTTCAGATCTGTAAACACATAAAAGGAGAAATGGCCTTGGGAGATCACAGCCTCTCAAATTACTGGAACCTCTTAATCGTTTGATTAAGAGCAGAAAATTATATGCAATCCTTCAATTCTACTATGACAACGATGAATGTACATAATAAACATAACATTTTCCCCTTTGGAAAAATATTAATCCAAAATTACCCTTTTGCCCATCAGCAACTATGATGAAGTTTCGGTAGTATTGACTGATTTTGTTATTATTAACATGTACTTCTATTTTAACTATGTGCCCATTTGTTTTGGACGAAGTGAGCATCTTAGAAGGAAAATTAGGGAATGAAACGTTATGATTAACTCCTAAACATAAAAATTCTGCAGCTGCGTGAATATATTGATGATACAGAAGATTATATCAACATCCAGGTATGCAAAAAACGACCAGTTATTCTTAATAATATTTTTGATTATGTAGAAATTGTGATTTTTAAAACCACCATCATTGTTCTTACTGCAGCTTGACAATCATAGAAATCAGCTAATTCAGGTCCGTTCTATCCTGTCCCATAGTGCATTAGCTTGTTTGTCGCCTATTTTCTTCTATTCGAGGATAATCTCATGTCGGTTTGTATTCATAACTGCAGCTGGAGCTATTTCTAAGTTCAGGAACTGTATGTATGTCCGTCTATTCGTTGGTGACTGGTATATTTGGCATGAATATACCTTATACGTGGAATGATGATCACGGCTACATGTTCAAATGGGTAAGTGCTGAAATTATATATATACACACACACACACACAAGGTTAAGAATGTACGAACAAATGATTCATATGTGAATCATTGGTAAAAGGTAATGTGGGTTCACATATGCATCTTCATATGTGAGTAATTGGTAAAAAGGTGGGTAAGTGCACATGGGTTCACAAATGCATATCCAGGTGGATTTTTATTTCGGATTTACTAATGATTCACATGTGAATAATTCATGAATAGGTTGTTTCTAGGTTCTGAAAATATTAACGAAGCTGCTCCCTATATATACATAGAGGGTTATCGTTTGATTATTAGTAATCAACATCTTGAAACCATTGATTTTGGTCCAAAAAATCCCCACCTTTAAACTCGAAACGATGTTGCTTCAGGGTGACATTGGTTTTGATGAATGTTGGCAGGTGGTGATTCTGTCGGGCGGATTTTCTGCAGTCCTTTTTCTTCTGATTGTTTCCTATGCTCGTTTAAAAGGGCTGGTTGGATCTTGAATGCAAGCAAGCAGCATTTATGGATACTGATTTCTAACTCGTGTATTCGCTTTCAGGTACGCAAGTACTAATACTCCCTCCCTCCCTCCCTCCCTCCCTCCTCCAATACAGATAGATCCATTTTAATTTTAATTTTAATTTTTTTTTCTTTCCCTTCTCCTTGTTTCTAAATCAAATAAGGAGAAGCAATACAAACTTGAGGTTGAAACATAATGCTTACTTATTGTAACCTGGGGGGATGCTATACTTGTTGAAATAAATATTACATTAACATTTTGTTTTTCTACTATTCGTGCCACAATATTAAATTTTGTTTTCTATGGCCGCCAACTTATTTATTGAAAAGACCCAGCTTTTTGTAAAACTACTCCATATTCCACTTCTTTTTTCTTTCCAATTATGCCCTTTATATATTAAACGAAACTACTTTACGACCAATAGCTAACTTATTAATGAACAACTATATTTTCATTTTTCAGCTAACAACCAGATTATTAGTATTAGTTAGTTTCGCAAACATAGCTGTTTCTATGTGACTCTTGAGGTTGTGTGGTGAAGTTTGATCTCATTGATAAAGAGAAGTTCTTTTTAAGCTATGTTGGTTGATCTACTTGTACTATTTTTGTTACAAGATCATCTCATCTCCAACCGCTATTGCTATATTTTATCTCCTTTTTCAAAATTTAGAGATTTCTCTGTTTTTGCTTGTTTTTTCCCCCCAATTTTAGAGGAGAATTTAACATAGCTATTGAAGCAAAAAAAAAAAAAATTCAAATCTTCAAAAATTCTAAAATAAAATAACGCTCTTTTTTAAGGATTTGTGTTTAGTTCACTTCACAAAGGGGTTTGTAGTTTGAAGCCAAAACTCCTTACACGTTGAGAGGATTTTTTTAAAATAATTATCGTAATATAAGCTATGTTTTTGGTTTTTGTGGTTTGATTAAAATTGCAACTTTCGTGCATGTATTTTGGCTTTTGTTCATGTTGTTGCAATTTATTATTGTTTCTGTGTTTGAAGAAGGATGATCATTTTTTTATATTACGAGCGAAAAACGATGATCCATTTGTTTATAACAGAAATTGTGTAGTGTAGTGTAGTGTAGTGCCGTTGTGATAGAGGATAGATCTACATAGAATAGAATGATAATCGTATATAGATAGTAAATTTGTTTTCTTTATTTATTTAGGGGTTGATTTCCCCACCTCCCTTACGTCACTTCTCACCCCCTCCCCCTCACATCTTTCCCTCACTTACACTCTCACATTCACCAAATTTTTTAAAATTTTAATTTTAAATTTTCACTTTATGCCTCTGTAATTAGTTAATTAATTTATTTTACATTCTTTCCTTTTAAATTTTTCATTTTATACCCTTATCAAATTAACACATATAATCGTATATTAATTAAAACATATTTAAAAAATATATTTTTATTTTAACAAGTTACACCAGTATATAATACCTTTAAAATGAGACCAATATTGAATAGTTTTTGA